CATTTTTTCTTTTTTGAAAAGCACCGCATTAAAAAAGACCAATTATTCATCATTAACATAATGAACAGTTTATAATTTTTATTTTGAGATTACATATGAATCTATATATAACCAGTAGTAAATAATGAATTTACTATAAATTATTTACTATTATAAATCTTTTTCCGACATTTTATTTTTAATTATTTTTTTAATGTTTACATCAGATTATATATTGCTACTTATGGTTTCGAAATTATTTCTCTTTCGTTAATATATCTGAAAAATTAAATAATATAATATTCCTTGAAGCCTGATACTACTATTTTTGGATTTATTAAAAATAAATTTGATAAATATATAAATATATATATTCTCTCTTTTCTAGATTTATATTAATATAAATTTGGACTAATTTTACAATGTCGATTTTTATCGATAAAATGTATAAGTCTTATATATACAGTTGGCATATAATATTTTCATATAAAATTGAATATTTTAATTTGAAATAACATATGGCACAATATATGCACACATGCACACATACATATAATTCTTGTTTTGACTTCTGAGTAAAATTTATGGACTTTGGAACTATCTCAAGTACAAACGGCGACTACGAGACCATAGATAAATTCTTAGGACTTATTAGGGGACAGATCCTAACATAGCATTACATAAATGCTTGATTTCTATCATGTAAATGCTTGATATATTGTATCATCTTAGTAATAAGATCGTAAGCTATTGCTAATCCATTATATATATCACATATCAAATATCATTGATAGAACTAGAATTTTAGTTTTTATCTTTCAAGTAATTAGTAAATAATTTTGAAATGACAAAAACGTGATATGCTAATATAAAAATTTTTAATGTACAGATAGCAGTACATCCGATGACACTGAACCGAGACAAACGCGGCGTGCAACTAAAAGAGCCGCCGAGATTGAACAAGGAGACAAGAATTCCATTAAGGGATCTATGAGTAGATTGCAAGAATTATTGGCTGAAATCTGGCATCACAGAGATTCATGGCCATTTTTATCACCTGTTAGAAAGGATGAGGTTCCAGACTATCACGATATCATCTCTAATCCGATGGACTTTGGAACTATCAAGTACAAACTCGGTAACGGCGACTACGAAACACTAGATAAATTCTTTAGTGATTGCCAGTTGGTTTTTGAAAACTGTGGATTGTACAACAAAGAACATAGTACTGTGTACAAGTAGGTATCAACGTTATCATTATTTATTTTACGCAAGTTCGGATGCCAGAGATCACAAATTCTAATTAGTATTACTTCATGTATTTCTACATTATTAACGGTAACATACACATTGAATATGATTAACATCGTATAATTATTAATAACAAAATAATAACAATAATAAATTGACATCTCTTTTATTTTTTATATTGTACATATACTAATTTTTGACTTGATATATGTATAAGTAAATTTTTAATAGAACTATTAGGTGTGATTCGGATTAGGTCTGTAGAATATTATAAATCTAACAAAATATAACAAATAACAAAAAATTAGGGTTTATAATTCGATAAAATAACTATCGTAATATAAAAAGTCTACGAATTATAGATAAATAGATTAACTTTGATCTTAATGGATGAATTCGATTTTTATATTTCATAAAATTTGCGAACGTGTTAATTTATCTGTAACTTTAGTACAAATAAATAGGGTTTTATTGTTGTTGATGTGTGTGTGTGTAAGTAATCTTTTGCCTCCGAACCAATTTGGAAATGCACATGTAAGAAACAAGGCTATGTCTTGTTAAAAATAGTTACGTATATAGTGCAGGGATGCGATTACGCAAGTACTTTGAGAAACGCTGCAAAGAATTAGGCTTGAATTTCGAGGATGGACTTTTCCAAGAAGAAACCAGAAAGATTAAGAGGCCGAGATTGAGCGGCGATGTCGAAGAAAACGATACGTCGGAAAGTGATGACGACGAAAGAGAAGTGCAGAAGAAAAGATAGAATAAAGAAGATTAAATATACATTATATTTCATTACGATGCATACTCGTGAAATTTAAATCTAGAGCCGCTCATATTTTATATATTTTGAACTCAGCATATATATATATATGGACTTGTATACCGATATTGAGCGGTTGAAAGATTCTGTATGTAGTTCAAGATACTTGTAAATTATATACTTTAATTCTTTCAACAAAGTAATATAAAATTACATCGACAAAAAAATTGACGGAATAGTACAATTATGATGAATTATGAGAATTTATTTTACGTATTTACGTGATGCAAATATACGAAAAAAATTGTTTTTTTCTACAGTCGATTTCTTCGAGGCTTATAATAAAGACGTACACACAGTATTATTTGCAGGAATATATATAGCTGCACATACATATACTTTTAGATGTATCACGCACTCAGAGCATTTCAAAATGATGACATACAGCTCATTAGTTTTCATTTGCTTCAATCAGTACAAGAATTGCACTATTTTCTTTATAGATGTAAACAGAAATAGACACATTCTCGCATCGATCAATTTTATTTATTATTTTAGTATTAATTATATAAAGCGGCAATTTATATATACTCATTGCCGTAATTATTAAGAATCGCGTAAATGTATACATGGTAAGTCACACTATAAATTTTGTTTTTCTCGAGATCATCTGTATGCGAGCTTCAATAATAGAACACAAGCATAGCTTTCAAAAAAAAAAGTTTCAGAAACGTCGTTTATAAAAATTTATGTTTGTAGATTCAGACAATAAAATTGGATACTTTTGTACTGAGTGTTCTGTGATTGTTATGTAATGAAGCATTATCATTAATATTCTGTAAATTCTTTTTTTTTACAATACTTATTTTTTGGATGTTTATTTTTAACAGTTTTCAATTTTTAGGATAGATGTGTACTGTGTCAAAATTTCTTGTATTATATAGTAATCACAAAAATATGTTCTTTTTAGTCTATGTATATTTTATATGATTATTTTAATAATTAAACTTTCAAATAGATTTTTTTCACAATTTCCTTATGTCTCCATTTATTTCACATATTACAGATTATTTGTTCTAATTAGAGAAATGACTAAGCTGTTTTTTTTCTTACACATGTTCATTTTTTACTCTAATTATATTTCTACTTCAGTGATGGCCATCTGGAGTACCGTAGAACATTTCACGATGGATTTTGTCCCATTTTGCAACATTCTCGGGAGAATATGCTGAAAATAAGAACGCAGTAAATGATATATATTCTAAATCAAATGCTCAGACAAGCTGTTACTTACATAATTTTTGAATTTTATAGAATATGGGCACACTAATGAATGTACTTAAGAGCAAATATTTATACAGCCAACTATGCTGTATGTAATATCTGTATGGAAACAGAGCAATCTTCGCGGTTAAGGTATATGGATATTTCATAGGTCGATATGTACCTTGCGACATGTTGGTTGTCTATAACAAACGAATTAAACATAGTTAACTTATTTACGTAAATGACAATAGTAATATGTTATAAAAGATTTGTGTGAAAAATCTCAGCACAATTGCAAGAGGACTAAGTGTTAAAGTATACCCAGTACACTATATAGGTATTAAAACACAGATTATTTTGCACAGATAACCTATAAAATTATGGAAAGGTTTCTTTTCGTTATAATTTTTCCAAATCAGGCATGAATAGAGAGTATACATGATTTATATCAATTAATGCGAATAAAATGAGTTTGAAATAATACTATTTATATTGATATACTGACTAATAATAATTCTGATCTTCGAAGAAAATGACTTAAAATATAAAAATTGTCACTAACAATTACATTAAGTATTACAAAAAGAAATGATTAGCGTACACTTCATGTTTAACACAATTTTAAATTACTTACTATTTCGGATTTATAATATGTAGCAAATTATGTGGAATTATGTAATATATCTAGAAGAGATTCCTAAAGATCTATTTTCCAAATCGCAAACGGATAACAGATATCTGATAAATGGGACAAATGGATATAATGGTACATTCACATAAATAACATAACAGCAGAGTATTCAACTGTCCACTCTAAAGTTACTAGATGTACGGGAACTACGGTCCATTTGATACTATGTAGCTTCAAGCATTTTTGATTGGCTAGTTAGTGAAATTCTTTCTTCCAACTGGTCAATAAAATGCTTCAAAACATTTATAGCATCAAGTGGATCGTACCCAAAAGTTAAGGACTGTTCAGAATCAAAGAATTGATGACTTCTGATAAACCGGCGGCACATGATGCTTGTTTTCCTGCTGGATTGCTAGCTGTAAAACAAGCATCGTGTGCTGCAGACTTTAGGAACAGAAAATAGGAATTTTAACCTATCAGAAAGCGTATATTGTGGAACACAGTTCCTGATAGGTTGAAATTCAGACCCAATTTTTCATTATCTGGTTGTTGTAGTTAAATTTAATCTGATGTTTTATTTATTACGTTTATACACCATCTTTTTCGGAAACTAGTCAATCACAGTCATTCTTTAAAAGAATAGTTGTGATTGGTTAATTTCTACGGATGTTACTAAACCTGCTGTATAAACAGTCTGTTGCGTTCAGTAGAATACAACAATTTTACAATCGTTTTATGATGTGTCTGTTGAGATAGGATCATTCTTCTAGATCTCAAAGTATAATCCAATCAGCGTGAAGAAAATTTCCAACAGCTGCAAAATAAAGCAATGACTGCTTTCAGCAGCTTTGCAACTGTTGTAAAATTCTTTGATATGATTGGTCTTGCCCTTAGTTCCTCATTGGATCTAAGTGTATAAACCAACCATATTCAACACTTTTATAACAGTTGCAGCAGCCAATCATATTAAAGAATTTTACAGCAGTTGCAAAACAACTTTTTCTACTAAACGCAACCATTCTAACAAGCGTATTGAAGTGAGGAAGCATGTTGGAGTATGCAACACGAAAAACTTTCAACAAACGTATTCTCATGGAATAAAAATTACTTCTAAACTGTGAAATATTCAACTTTATTTGAGAAATCCAATTATTCGCAATAATTTAACACATCGACTGAGAATGCAATTATTTTTCTCTTTTTCTTGTTTCTTATTTTCGTAACAACAGCATGATTCATCGTCCTTGATTCATCGTCTCGGTTTTCATATTTATTCAATAGATTAGAGTGTCCACTCTTAATTTTCCATTTTTAGACGTCATTTGACCAAACAATAAACTAAAGTTCTGAACATAATACAAAACTTCAATTGTATAATAAAGTTTAAATGAAATCTATATATTGCAGGTAGACTGCCTGCAATATAAAAGTTTATTATTGCTTATCATTTTTCATTTCATTAAAGCATGTACCACCGCTTTGGCATTCAATGATTTCAGGTCAGTGTAAGTTTGGCCAGTTCCAACAAAAACAATAGGTTGACCAGTGATGTATGTCATTGTAATAGCTGCGCCAACCTGCAAATAATATTCATGAGAATAATACATTTACAATAATATTCATGATTGTAAATGTTACACAATAATAAAAATATAATAGACATTATAGAGGAAAATATATTTATATACATATACAAGATGTTCCAGAATGACCACCAAATATTTCGTACGCAAGTAGACCGGACTAAACCAAGTTGAAAAGTCCTCTATCATTTTGCAATTTTTGCAATAGTTAACAAGATATTAATAACTAAAAATCGTCAAATATTCATCTTAATAATTTTTTACTCAAGTACTATCAATTTTACAGAAAAACATCAAGACAAAAATTGTTTAGTTTCTTTTTATAGAGCACTAAAAATTTTTTCAGAATTTTCTATCAACTTTTTAATACTGTATTTTCTTATTAGCAATTATTTTTACTAATACGAAAAAATATGGTACTAAAAAATTCTGAAAAAGTTCTCAGAATTCTACAAGAAAAAAATAATTTTTGTTTCTTGCTGTTTTTCTGTAAAGTTGATAATACTTGAGATAGTACAAAAAATTATTGAAAACCAATATTCGACGATTAATATCTTGTTAACTATTGCAAAATGGTAGAGGACTTTTCGACTCAGTGTAGTTCGCTCTACCTGAACACAAAATATTTGGCGGTTATTCTGGGACACCCTGTATATATGTATGTGGTTTATTATTATAAAATACAATAGTATATGTATGTGGATGGTATGTATTTTGTGCTTGATGGTAAATATTTTCTCAGGTATTGACATAAAGATTAAAAATTCTACAAAAAAAAATGTAATAAAAGTCATTTAAAATATATATAAAAAAAAACTTACTTTATCATCGATAGTATCAAATTTTGTCAACACGATACCGTCGATCATATGAGGATTGGCAGATTGACTGTAGTCAGCCAAAGCTTGATTGAATTTCACCAGCTGATCCACAGCCTCATTCCCGACGAGAGCTTCCCCCACAAATAATACCAAGTCCGGCTCATTAACTTTAATTAGCTTTGCGAGAGCTCGCATCAATGGTTCATTATCTTGCATTCTACCAGCAGTATCAACCAGGACAACATCAATTCTGGAATCTTTCGCAAAGCGTATCGCCTCCATGGCAATACCTGCGGCATCTTTACCATAACCTTTCTCATATAACTGCACCATCGACTGATTCCCGTGCTTTTCTGGTGGATGCAAAGCATTCAAATGACGCATGTGAGTTCTCAATTGTTCAACAGCTCCAGCTCTAAATCACAAAATTATTGTCATTGTAAGCTCTTATACATTAACTTTTATTAGAATTTATATTAAGAGAATTGAGGCGCTTATTGATAAATACCCTAAAAAAAATTATTTTAGAAGTAAGACGTTTAAAACAAAAATATATAATACAATGTGTACATAAAAAAAAATATATAAGAAAGATATTATGTTTCAAGAGGCATATATTTATGATGAAATAATATTCATTTACCTGAATGTATCGCATGCGGCTATTAACACGCGGAAATTGTTTTCTATTAACCAGAAACAGATTTTTGCCAGATTCGTCGACTTGCCGACCCCATTGACGCCACAAAAAGTTATCACATAAGGCCTGTTGCTGTTCTTAGCTTCTAAAGCGTCTCGTAGAATATCGATTCTCCTTTTGGGCGACAATATCTGTACTAAAGCGTCTGTTAAAGTGACTTTCACAGTGCTTGCCACACTATCAAAGGTGCCGAGTATCCTTCCTTCCAATTTAGTGCCGACAGAATCGCATAACTTCTGCGCGATGTCCGCAGCAACATTTTTAGTGATTAGATGATCCTTCAATTTCTCCAAAACTGGCAACATATCTTCTTGCTTTAGAGATTTGCTGCCGACTAGACTCTTGAACATAGAGAACATACTCGTTTTCTTTTGCACTTGCTGCTTAGATTGCTCTATCTCTTCCTGATCGGAACTATCCTCAGATTCGCTGTTCACCTCGAGATCGCGTATGCTACCTTTCATCTGTCCAACTAGCTACAGAAGATAATGAGAATATAAATAAGCAATATAAATAATAAAAGTATAAATCGCAATTTCTTCAACTAAAAGTCAATTTATTCAATGCATTCTTTTTCTTTTATATTTTCTTTGGTTGTTTTTTTCCAATTATATTCTTCAATCTATTATTGTAAGAATTAATTCATTATATATTCAGTTACATAAATTTTTTTGAATTTTTGCACACGCGCATACACATACACACACACATATACAAATTTCCAAAAAATAAAAAATAGAAAGACACAAAACGTGATTAATTATCAGTTAGAGATATCAAATTTAATAAGAGAAATTATAAGATTTTTTGTCAATAGAAATAGGAAGAAAATTCTTCAATAAACTTGATATTAAAAAAATGCAAAAGAAAAAATATTACAGCTGTATTGGCTGCCACATAGTCATCATTCTCCTCAGGTTTGTCTTTAGTTCGTTCTAGCGTAGCAAGATCCTTTGTTGTGCCGCCCAGTTCCCAAATGCGCGGTTTTTTCCCGGCTTTCTCAGGTTTAGGACTTTTCCTAATACAACATTTCTTATCATGT